GCACATTTCCCGCCCGTCTCTCTTTGCCACACAGTGCTGCAGTCAGTTTGTGCAACAGTGGGGCAGGGCATGGCTAGCAGCGGGGGGAGACTCCATGCCGGTTCGCGGTTTTAGCGGTTAGATTTTTTGTTTGTTTTGTATTTCTTTTTCTCTACCGGAGGCTACTGTGGGGTGTGTGGGGTGGGGTTGCTCCTAGGTACCGTTTCTCAGTCAACGCCAGCGCCGACTGCGTCGCCACGCGAGTGCATTGCACTTTTGAGTGTTTTTTGGTAGCTTGCCGCGTGGTTGGGAGGGCAGAACAGAACCCCCATGTGGCATGTGGCATGTGGCACAGGTGCACACACACACACACACGATGCAAATGGTGTCTCCGAATCTGCCGCGCATTGCAATTTGCATACCCAGCAGCACCTCCCTCCCTCCCTTTGTTAGTTGGCTCTTCGTCCGGGCCATGAATGGCCAGTGGCCAAGGGACAGATGGGCGGTTGGGTTACTTAGGGCCCTCTTGGCATATGGGTTAAATGTATGCAACTATGTTGCTTGCCACACGTGGCATGGGCACTTAATGCTGATACAGTGGAGGCAACCAGCGAGAGTCGGGTACGGGTATTCCTCGCCGACTCATTAGGCAACTCTACCAGATTCATAATATCCCATTTATATTAAATAAGATGTAAAATGGTTTCCAACAAGAATCTCCTCTCATCATTCCCCATAGTTCTCGTGCGCATAATGGACAATGGAGACAAACGAAGAGAATGGAGAACAAACAATGAAAGAGAATCGCAATCAGACTTGTTGTGGGGCGGGGGGTGTGCATGGGCATATGCCAATACTTGCCAATTATTGTCTCAATGGGTGTGGTGTCGTCCCGCTAACAATTGCGAGTAGGTAATTCGTACATACATACATACATATGCATGCACACAAGAAAGAGATCTGTGTGTGTGTGCTCTTCAGCTTGAGTCACTCTCCCGCGCTCGCTTGTTGCTCTCTCCCACTGTCTGGCTGTGCCGTTTGCCAGAGGGAGGAGAACTGACTGCCTGACGGCGGGGACGCTAAGGAAGGAATTCAGATCTCCAATCTATAGTCCAAGATTTACAGATTTAATTTGATTTTTTGGATTGCATAACTGTGCATACATATGTCATATGTTTGTACTTATGTTTGTACGTATGTTTTTGGCATTATTTTACATCAATCAGTTTACTGCTCGATTTTCTTTTTTTTTACTGTCACTAATTTAATAGTTCAATCAACATTCGATTATGTATGTTGAATGGGAAATTAATTTGATTTCCATCCATGTGAAATGTGTCCACATTTCTGCATTATGCCATTTCCCAGTATCCAATTAATGAATTGATAGCTCTTAGCATGGCGCTCAGATGGGATTTAGCTTCCCCAGTGGAATGAAATGGAATGGAATACTCGCAGAACCCAGTACACCCTCTCTCCTGCTCACTCGCTTGCTGCGGCACTTCTTCGGTCTTCTTCGGTCTTCTTCGGTCTTCTTTGGGCTGCTAACGTCCGTTAGTCTTGGTCGCCAGCTGTGTGTCGCAGGCAGAGTGTCAGAGTTTTTCCTATTTGCGGCGCCATTCCATAAATTGCATTGCATTATATTGCAGGGAGCAGGGAGTAGGGAGCAGAGCCACCCCCCCACCCACCCTGTTGCCGCCGCAAAAAGAGGAGCATTGAACTTCTCGCATGTGGTCCGGAAACCCGACGGAAACTTCCAACCACTATTGCGCGCCCCCCCCCTCTCCGCTCGCTCGTTGTACACCTCTATTCTCGCTATCTCTCTATCCCTCTTTCGCTCTCCCTCTCCCTCTCTCTGTCTCTGTCTAAGCAAAAAGCTTTGCGCTCCGCTTTGGTCACTTCCTTAGACTTTCTCTCTGTCGCTTCCTCGCTCTGTCGCTTGCTGTTGTTGTTGCTGGATGTGGGAACTGCTTGACTGAAATTGTTTTTTTTTTTTTTTTGTGGGTTGTCAGTGGGTTAAACATCTATGTATGCTTGAGTGAAGTAGCGGTAAAAACGCATTGGAAAGCCCGATCTTTGGGGCTGCGCAATTTATTTATTGGCTTAACAAGATCAAGGCTGCAAAGCTACTTCCTTTCATACATACATACATATGTGCATGCACGTACATAAGTACATAAGTCGCGTGGCCTGTCGTCTCATGATCGCTTCCTTCCGCCTTCGCGAGCTTTCACTGTATCAAAAGACACGAATGGCTCTCACATGCATACGTACATACATATGTACATACAAAGTTACGTAGCTATTGTCCCTTTAATCAGTTTTGCTTACTCGCATCAAAATTTAGTCCGGTCAGTCAGTCAGTCAGTCAGTCAATCATTCAACCAGGCTAATCCATTCGCTGTCCGAGGGCCAGGATAAAACAAAAGGCACAAAAGGTTCCCATTGAATTGGGGTGGATTGTGGGATCGAATCAGACTCCTGTATATACTACTCCTTATATGTACATACACACCCCATGCCACCACCATGGCGGGGTTCGCTTGCTACATTGTGTGGCATACGATTGGTATCCCAGTCGCGTGTCAAATAACGGACTGCCGCATCTCTGCATCTGCTGCTGCTGCCGAGGGTTGCATATGAAGCTGTGCAACGAGAGGGTGGGGTGGGGAGGGGAATTGAATATCATTTGATTCATGGACGTTAACTATTTATTTGCTACCTAAGCACACTTCCCTTTTGTGGCACTTACAGAGTATTTGCTTTGGCTTCCTCCACACCCACGGGGTTAATGAAGAATTTTCCAGTAATAAAATTATATACAAAAATACATACATGTGTGTGCTGTCTGTATGTATGTAGTTTTAATTGCAACCGAAAGTCAACATTAATTGCAATTCTCTGCTCGTATGAGAAAATGCTGGTCGATGAAGGCATATTATTGGATGGCTGGTGCCAGACCCCCCCCCACCCCCACCGCGTTCCGATTCGTTTCATTACTGGTTCGGGTTTTCTTAATTTGGGAAATTTATTTGAATTTAATGCGCTCCGATGAGGGCTGATTAGGAGGGAGGGAAGTAGGGTGGGAGTGAAGTAGGGTGGGTATAGGGTAGCTGACCAGAAAGACGACAGAGAAAGAGAGAGAGAGAATTAGTGTGCCATTGCCAGTTGCAAGAAATCTTTAATTAAAGGGGAGAGGTGAGGGTGCTAATTAAAATTCTCTGATTAAAGGGCCTGACAGAGAGAGAGAGAGAGAAAGTGATGGAGGGAAGAGTGACTCAATCACACTCACTCAACACCCCGCACCCCCGTACCGTTTACCGTTTACCGACACTCGAAGTAAACTGAGAAAGAGAAGTGGAAGTGGATGGGGAGGGGGATGGGGCAAGGGCAAAAGGACCATCAAGAGATTGCCCTAAGCCGCCGCTCTGATGAATCAACCGCAAAATGTGCCGCACAGAAACAGAAACAGCAGCAGCAGCAGCAGCGCAGCAGGCGTCGAACGTCAGTCATGAAACGGAAAACGGAAAGCGGATAGTGCCGTAAAGCGCTGGGCAGGGGAGCGTGAGGAGTAAGGGGGAGGGGCCATGGAAACTAAGGACCACTGCATTGCAGTCAAATCAAAGAAGGGCCAAGGGCACGGTCAAGGCCAGGGCCAGGGCCACGGCCAATCAACATCAAAGTCGCAGCAAATCGTAGCCAAAAACGTAATAAAGTTGCTGCTTGGAGTCGGAAGCTTTTGATGATACTTTTGCCGTTGCATTCATCCATCCATCCATCCATCCCTCCAGCTATGGTATTACGGTATCTGCGATAGATATATGCAGATATATGGGAAGGGAAGAATCGATTGACTGCCTTAAGTTAAGTCACATCCACGAATCCGCACAAGAAAAGGTTACTTGTGGGAACAACCACATGGAGCTGCACACAAAACGCACCAAAATATGTGAGTGCCTGCGTGCCCGAGCCCTGACTTACAGTGATCGTCGAACGTATGCGTACGAGTATGCATCACCAAAGATTTCCTTTCAATTCCAAAACGCAATCAAGCAAAAGCAAAAGCTAATCTAGTTCTGGGTGGGAAGTACGTACTTCCTCATAGTTAAACCTCCCCATTGTAAGGAAAAAAAACTCATTACAGCTCATTCATTATGTATGTGCATATGTAGATCATAAATAAATATCTCTTATATTTGGCAATAGGGGCAGGGCAGTAGCAGCATTTAGGATCAAATGATCGATCGCCCAGGATACCCTGTATTTATTTGATTCTTGAATTGAGTTTTCGTATACATACATTTAAATACATACATATGTAAGTATGTCTGTATGTATATTTCCCTACATATATTATGTAAATAAACTCGTTTTGTCCACCCCTCTCTCTGATCGTACATAAATATTCGCTGCTGGCGGATACTTTACCAAATTAATTAATTAGCATAAATTATGAATTAAAATGCGCTCAGTCAGCGATTCGGGCGATAGGAGTGGACTCACGGGTAAAGAGCGGTGGCAGGGAGGGAAGGGAGGAACGAACTAGGAGCATTGCATTTCAACCACCGCACGCGCTTAAATTTGCTGCCTGCCTGCCTGGATGGATGGATGGATGGATGGTCCCCTGGTGGTCCCCTGGTGGTGCGTGGTGGTGGTGGAAGTGTCAGCTGTTGTGTCCCCCACCCCTCCCATACCTGGGTGCATTAATCAACTTGGAACGGACTTGGCCAACCCCTCCAACAGTCGTCCTACCCCCTACCCTACTGGCAGCAGATGGACTCTGTCTGCGACTGCAACTGCAACTGCAATTTATTAACAATTTTGTTTGCATTCTTTTGATCAGTTTTTTTTTTTTTTTCTGTTCAGTATCACCCGTATGTACAGTTATTTTAGAGGCAAAAAACTATTACATACAATTTTTTAGATCGATTTTTTAAAATTGATTTTTTAATTGATTTTTTAATTAATCGTTATCTATTTAAGGGCTTAAACAATTATCCAAAAAAAAAAAAAATTATATAGTTTTAGCTACAGTTACCTACTGTATGCATGCATGTATAATTATTTATGATCACGGGACTATCTGATTAGTTTCGCTAAAATACATATATATCGATTTTATGACTCTTAAGATCTTGATATAACATCCAATAAAGTAATTTCATTGATGCCAAGTTTCTTGAATCTTGGATTTGGATATATGTACTTGTGTATACTCCCGTGCGATGGGTTTGGGGTTAACAGTTCCATTAGTTCCATTAGTTCCATGCATTCTACCAAAAAAAGGAATGTCAATAAGAATTTGAAGGGCATAAAATACTGAGAGGCGGCACCAGGCACCCATCGAGAGTCTCTTACCTACTTGTTTTTCTTCGACTGAAGGTGATGCTTAGATGTGATCCTTAGGCCCTAGATGTGTATCCTCTGAATATGTTTAGGTAACTCTGCTCATATCTCCACCACGTACCGACTGCTGCCCGAGGGGCTAATGGAGTAGTAGCTATTCTCTGCAACGGATCAAAGATCAAAGATAATGCATCAGATCTGCAGTCTGCAATCTGCAGCTTCGGTTCCACTCACCTTCGTCGCTGTCGAAGCTGTAAAAGTTTTCATCGTCGCGGGTCATGGATCGTCGGCTGCGTCGTGCCTGTTGTCGTGCCGCCTGCTGCAGCTGCAGCTGCTGCTGCTGCTGCTGCTGTTGCAACATCTGTTGCTGCGGTGGCGTCAGCTGGGAGGGAGGAGCTGCACCCGTCGAGCTGCGCCGCTTGCTGGGATACGGATAGGCCAGGGGCGATCCGTACTCGGATCGGCTGCAGTTGGAGTTTTGGCGATCCAGGCATTGGTCCAGGGACAGCGACAAGGACTCCTCCTTCCTTCTCCTGCTGCTGCTGCCGCTGCCGCTGTTGTTGTTGTTGTTGTTGTTGCTTATGCTGGGCTGTGTGGTAACGATCTCTGGTATGACGACGACTGGCCGATTTGTGGGAGTAATGGGAGATGCTGCCTCCTCCTCCTGCTCCTGCTGCTCCTCTGCATCATCCTCTTTCTCCTCCTCCTCCTCGCCCCCGCTGAAGCTCGATGAAGTGGCATGCAGCTCGTACTCCTCGCTGTGCAGACGCCGTGGACAGAGGCGTGGCCGGCGGCCGCCCTCGAATCGCGAGATCAGCTTGTTCACCTTGCCAATGTCGCCGGGATGCACCTGTTCGTTGTAGGTGAGCCGCAGGGAGCTGGTCTTGACCAGCGGCTTGGCCGGGCGCGACATGGAGGCGCTGCTCCTCTGTGGCAGCACAGCAGCAGGGGGAGCAGCAGCAGCAGCAGGGGGAGTCATGCTGAGGGGCGGGGGCTTGCTGGTGGGCAGCGGCGGAGGCACTGCATCATAGATGGGCGCTGCCGGCGACGGTGGAGTGGCCTTGCGCTGCGGTGGACGTCGCTGTGGAAGCGGCGGGGGCGGTGGCGAGGCGGAAGGCGGTCGCTCCCAGGTTCGCTCATCCTCTTTTGTGGACTCCTCCTCTGCCTCTTCCTCCTCCACTGCCTCCTCCTCCTCCTCATGCTCCTGGGCCATGAGGCTCTCCCTGCTGTTGCCAATCCTTGGGGGCGCATCTGGCTGCATTCGTATTCGGGTGACCCTGGAGCTGCTGTCGTCGGCCTCCTCGTCGCCGCTCGTGTCGCAGCTGCTCCCGGCACTGATCCTCAGTATGGGGGCGTTGCGGAGCGCCTCATCGAAGTCGGCAAAGGCGGGCCCCGACGCCTCGAAGATGTCGATGCTCTTTGGCTTGTACAGGGAGCGGGCACCCGGCCACGATTCCGCCTCTCCCAGCTGCTGCTCCTTGAAGCTGGAGATGATCTCTGCGTTGGGCAGCCACGCGCCGCTGCCGCTTGGGGTTGGGGGGGCTGGCGACGATGGCAATGGCGATGGCGATGGCGATGGCTTCGTGGAGACGGCAATGATCAGCGTGGACTCGCAGGAGTCGTCGGTGTGCTCCTGGTGGATGAGCACCCGGGGATAGTCCTCGTCGGGGATCTCCTCCAGCGATTCGCTGCTCCAGGCCGTGAAGGAGCGTCGCCCCTCTGCCGCTGCAGCAGCCGCCGCTTGTAGCTCAGCCAGCGTCGCCATTTGTCGAGCAGCGTGGGCGGACGAAGCTCCTGATAGGGGATGCTCCATTTGTGTCTCCTCCCCGCTCTCCCCATCCCCATCCTCATCCTCGTCCTCTTCCTCATCCTGCTGGCCAAATGCCTCCTCAGCACAGACATCCTGTCCGCTGTCCTGGCTGCCACGCTCCGCCTCATCCTCGTCATCGTCCTCGTCGCTATCGCTGCGATGATAGGTGGCGGCCAGCTCCTCATCGTCGTCAATGTAGACGGGCTCGTGACCGACAGTATTCGGCTTGGGCTTGGGCTGGAGCTGGGGCTGCACACCGCCGACTTCCTCGGTCGAGGCGGCGGCGGCGGCGGCGCCCTGCCGCTGAAAAAACTTCAGCTGATGCATCTTCTCGTTGAGCTTCGTGAGGGTTCGCTCCAGATGGACACCAATGGCCATGCCGGTCGCTGCCCCCGCCCCCGCTCCCGCCCCGTCGTCTGCCTTTGCCTTGGGGCTCCTCTGCGCATCCTGTCCCGCCGTCTTGAAGCTTTTCCGCCAGCGCTCCTGCAGCTGCTCCGTGGAGGCAAAGCGGATGAGGCGTGCTCTCAAATTGCCAGACGATTTGGCCACTGGTGGCGCCCCCTCCTCCTGCCCCTGTCCCTGCCCCTGCTCCTGCTGCTGCTCCTCCTCTTCATCCGATTCGTCGACTGACTTCTGCGGCTGTTTCTGCGGCTGCTTGCGCCTCGCTGGCCGCTTGATGGACTTGCGCAGCCTCTTAATGTTTTGGCGGATAGCCGACTTTGCTGGTGGTGGAGTCTGCTCCCCCTGCCCTCCCTTCTCTGCCTTCTCTGCCTTCTCGCCCTCCTCCTCGCTGACCTTGCTGCGCTTCTGGAGACTGGCAAGACTGTTGGGAAAGCTGGGAAGCTTTTGGAACAGCTGCTTGCAGCTGCTGCGACGCGGCGCAGCCTCAAGCTGCTCCTTTGCCACTTCCCCCTCCCCCCTCCACCACCAGCTCCATTTCCATCTCGTGCTTGTCCTCCTCCTCCATTTGCAGCGGCGGCTGTCGGACCTTGGCAAAGCGCGTGGCCGCAATGCCCGGCTTCCTGGTTCTCGTGGGCAGTGGCGGTGTCCCCTCCATGCCACTCTCGTCCCCACTCTGTTCGGCCACGCTGCGTGGCTTCGGTGGCTTCTTCGAACGCTCCTCCTGCCTCGCGTGCCTCGCGTGCCCTGCGTGTCCCTCCTCCTCGCCATCGGCCAGCGTCTTGAATCGAATGTCGTAGTTGTCGGCTATCTGCCGGTCCCTGCGTGCCTGTGCCCGCTGCTCCGACCGCAGCTCTGCCTCGTACTGCTCCACGTAGCGGTCCACCTCGATGTTGTCCCGCCGCACGACCGTCTGCTTGGCGAACAGATGCTTCAGCCGCAGCTCGCTGAGGCTCTTGTAGCCCCTCTGCAGGCGCTGCGTCAGAGTCGGCTGGCTCTGGCCTTCCCGCTGGCTTCCCGCTGGCGGCGAGGGCATCTTCACGGGGCTAATGGGTCGCGAAGCCCGCTCCCCGACTCCGCCTCCGACTCCGCCTCCGCTCTCCGGGGCATAGTAGTCATCGTCCAGACTGCCCGCACTTCGATACGTGCCTGGCTGTCCCTGTCCTTGTCCCCTGCCCCTGCCCTTGCCCGTGCCCTCCTGCTGCTCCTCGTACATCAACGAACTGATGGTGGAAATCCGCTGGGGCGTGCGGTTGATGAACTGCTGCGACTGTGGTGGCAGCGGCAACGGCAGCGTGCACATTCCCCCAGCGTCGCCTCCCTTGGCTGTTGCTCCCCCTCCCCCTGCCCCGGCCACATCCTTGTGGTTGTTGCTGCTGCTGTTGTTTCTCCGGGAGCTGCGAAATATCTTGCGTCCGCGCAGCTTAGGCAGCGATTTCGGCAGCTTCAGTGGCGGCAGCGATGGAAACGACGGCAGCTTGGCTGTAAAATAAAAAATAAAAAAAATTAAGAAATTTTTCTTTGGAATTAATGGAAATGAATTCACATACATTCAAAGACTTTAAAAATACCAAAATATTGATTGCAGCAGGAACAACAAATTTTATTTTTTTTTTTACAATTCTCTTTTTTTTTTTTATCGACTCTGACCGCCTTGGGGCTGCTGAGTCACGGTCCCCAGAGTCGGAACCCAGAGACGGTTCCCAGAATAAAAATAAAATTAAATAAAACAATTCAGAGGAGAGGCAAAATAAATCTTTAAATTAATTAGCACAGTTTAGTTAATTTAAAAAAAAAAAAAAAAATTTACACTAATTGTGGTATTTGCTGTATTTGATATTATGCATAGCTGCATTTGAGTTATTCGAGTTGTTGAGTGTCACGAGATGAACTAGTTCTAGTGGTTCAAGTGAACCGTAATAAATATAATCCTAGTGGCTTCAATTGGAAACTTCAATGTGAGGCATAGTTGGGTAAAGCAACACAAGCGATATATTATAATGAACATACATTCGTTTCCACAAGTTAAATGCAAAATGCACTCGCACTCGCACTCACCTCTCAGGCCATCCACGTCGAGGCGCTGGCAGAGATTACGAAAGTCCATTGAGCCAATTCGGCTGACCCGCTCCGTATTCGAGTTTCGATTCGGATTCGGAGGCTGTTGATGTTGATGTTGATTCCTTTCGGTGCCCAAGGTCCTTTCCAGCTGCGAATCCGATTGCACTTGATGCAGGTGATGGTGCTGATGATAGTGATGGAACTGCTGGTGGCTCATCGCACCGTCGACTGCAACTCCGATTACACCGATTACACCGATAACTCCAAAGGCATCAATCACACCAAAACCAACAACAACACCAACAAAAACAGAACCGAAAACGAAACCGAAACCGACAACGACAACGACGACGACGACAACTGGGAACGTCCGTTGCAGTTCAGCATTTTAGCCAGTTTGAAGCTGAGGCGGTCAGCATTGGCTTTGGCCCCACACACGGCACACACCACACGCCACACGCCACACACAACGGGCTGCAACCGATTTCAATGGGAAATCGCTAATTGAATTAACGCGCGGACAGACGGAGAACAGAACCAAAACCAGAGCCACAGCCACAGCCAGAAACAGAACCCTTCTCCAGGTCGCGGTTGCTCCCCTCCCCTCCTCTGCTCTGCTTTGCTCTCCTTCCCTATCATCCATCCATCCCATGATGCACAGGTGTTCGGTTTCGTATTCCCGCTAACTGGCCTGGCCTCTGGCCCCATTTCTATTTTCCATTTTTGCATTTTCTTTATTTTCCGTTGATGGCCAACAGTACGGCCTATGGGTAACCAGGTCTATGACGATACCTCCCCCCCCCCACCCACCATTCTGGCACCCATTTTGCATCGACTTTTCGACTATTTCGCTGGTGCATTTGCTGCAATTGATTCTCATAGACGATATTTTGGCTGTGGCTGTGGCTCTGCTTCTGCCTCTGTGTCTGGGGTTATCTTTGTGGTGCATATTCGTATTTCCCATGTCTCTCGGTCATTTCCTCCGTCGTTGGACCGCGCTGTACTGTTGTTCTGTACCCAAGGCAAATATCGTTGAAAAGTAACAAAAATAATCGATTTTAAGCTGGTGCCCCGAGCTGCATTTCGATATATAAAATACGCCAAGGACAAAGCTGGCACTTCTCTCTCTCTCTCTCTCTCTTTCTGTTCTCTCTTCCAGTGAGATTCAGTGAGTGATTCCAGAGAGATCTCCTTGTATTATCTTCTTAAGGGTTTTCTATTATAAATGTTAAGCGCACAAAATGCGACTCCATTCCTTAGACGGGCACAGAGAGCAGCGCATCTGTTGAGCATTAGTTGAGCACTTTCCTCGTTGGAATCATCATATTGGATAATTGCATTACTCATTACGTATTACTCATCTGTCTGTTTCTCTCTCTCTCTCTCTCTCTCTCTTTTCAGACACGCAGACGTGCTAAACTTTTACTGCCTGCACCCAACCAACCAGCCAAACCACCCACCCACCCACATTACTCTCTCGCTCGTACGCGTCGTCTCTCTCGTCTCGTTTCGTTTCGTTTCGCATTGAAAAGTGTAAAGTTCTAGACAACATCATCAACATAATAATAATTTTATTTGCAGTGCGACAAGGAGAAAAGATAAAAAGAGCTCGACTTGGATGCTATTTTCATTAGTGTGAAAATTGTGTAAGATCTAAGAGCTGAGCTGCAGGAGAAGGCGAAGGAGAAGGAGAAGGAGAAGGAGAGGTAACATTCCAGACACCCGCAATTACAACCACAAATACAACCAAAAGCACACGCACGCGAAGTGAGAGAGACAGAGAGAGTCAGAGAGAGTGAGCAGCTCGAAAATGCGGCGGCAGTCAACGATGCTGGCCGCGATATTGCTAGCTGCCATTTTGGGCAGTGCAACGGCAAGAAGTAAGTAAAGCGAATGGTGGGGGAATCTACACTGGGAGCAAAACACCCCATCTAAGTATGTTCGAAGCCAAAGAAATAGACAATAGACAAATAGCCCCCTCAGTCATGAGCTGAACAAAAAAAAAAACAACTATGTTTTCCTCCAGCAGGAAATCTCTACTTATCCCCCAGAGCATAGCACAAAACTATATTCGGAACTGCCTCAGCTTTTCCCCCGAGGGCGAAGCTAATCGCCTGTAGATCACCTCAGATCTACCTACCCATTAGACCATTAGACGGCGAAAAATTGCCTCTAAATGGTGGGGGGTGGATGGAGTAGATCAATTTGGAAGTCCGATTTGTCTCGCTTTAAGTATTTCCATTTCCATTGCCACTCCCACTCCCACACACAGCCCCAAGTTGTGGTGGGCTCCCACATTCAAAAATTGAGTGAGAAATTCAATAGTTCTCAAGGTCTAAAAATAATATCGAACCTAATTTAAAATTGATGCGACCAATTAGTGGCAAGATCCCAATGCTCATCAATCTTTACCGCTCCTGCTCTCCTGCTCTACCCACAGCCAACTCCCCGCCACGGATCATCAAGCAACCGGCACCCGGCGAGCTTCTCTTCAAAGTGGCGCAGCAGAATAAGGAGAGCGACAATCCATTTATTATCGAGTGCGAGGCCGATGGACAGCCCGAGCCAGAGTAAGTAAAAACGTAACACTAAAACTAAAACTAAAATATTTAAAAATACACACACATACATATGTACATACATATGTATATTTCCTTGTAAAAGAGAAAGAGTTCATATATTTCCCTGGCATACATTTTATTGGTACATTTATGTAGTACACGTAGTATGTATGTAGCATCTATTCTACTACATCCGCCGCCGATTCACCTAAATCAAATTTAAGACCCAAATATTTCCCCCTTTCGAGATCTTTTTTGTTTGTTTATTTTTTTCGGCCTTGTTTTTTACGAAATATTTTCGTCACAAAAGTATTTTCAAATTTATTATGCGAACGAGGGAGCAGCATTTATAGCAGAATTTGATACAGTCTGCCCCAAAGAGAATATAACGGGGGAAGCAAAAAATGGCAAAAGGAACGAAGAAAGAAAGGTGCCCTGAAACAAATCAGGGTATAATCCAGTTCCAAATGCAACAAATGTCAAATATTTTTCTGGCGCTTTTCATGGGCTATTTTTGTGACAAAACTAACCCAAGACATAGCTATATTTGTATATACATATATGTGTGTATATGTAGGTATATATTTTCGGTCAAGTTTTGTGGTGCTGGAAAGGAAGGGAAACTATGCCGAAAGCTACCTCTAACCTGCCTGCCTCTTACCTCATATGAGTAATGTCTGAGCCGTGTTTATGCGGCCAATTTGAACCTGTTTCCTAAACACAAATAAAACACGTTTCGCGTTACGATTAGTTTCGTTTCGTATCGTTTCGTTTGGCTTCTTTTGGGGCCGTTTGACTCTGAGTTTTGGCCATGTACTTGGGCCCATTCATTGCATTGAGTCATCTTCATCTCCAACCACATCACCGTTTGAAATGCGGAATTCAAAGTTATTCGTACATACATACATACATACATACATACATATGTATATATTGTATGTATGTATGTGCCTAGATACATTCTGGACATCGCGTGATGACCTCATTGTCAAAATAAAATAAAAGAATGACTGAATGTGCGGCGGTGCGGTGGGTGGGGGGGCGGTGGGTTATGAAAAGCGGCGTGACGTGCCATGAAAATATTTATAAAGCGTCTGTGAAATGTTTACGATGGAAAATATATGTGAAAATATGGAATGGTGTTCCCCTTCGAGCTGCTTCTACATGCATATTATGTACACTTGCTTTAAGTTCTACCAAAGGCGGCGGAGTACTTGTCTTCGGGGAAGAGCTTTCTTTTTGTTTCGTTTCCGTGCGCTACAAACATTTGAATAATTTAAATGTTTAGCCACTCGAAGGGTATACCCAATGTTTAATGAGAAATTAATGATTCAATACATCAAGTGGAGTTTGCAAAGAAACAAAATATTCCCTCTCCACAGCTCGCTCTCAAGGAAGAGTGTCATACAGGCAGACACAAGTCTGATCAGATCAGATCAGATCAGAGTGGAGAGAGAAGTGTTGTCAAAAGAAGCGCCTGAAGAGAGAAGGCAGAGCAGAGGCAGAAGCAGAGATATAAGCAGTTCTGCTGCTGCAGCAGCGGGCGTCGGCGGCAGCACAGCAACAGATGGCCAAATGCCAGACCAGACAGAGACAGAGACGGAGACGCGCTGCTACCGTCAGCAGTGGCAGCGACACAGAAGTTGGCAATGTGTAAAATGTAGAAGAAAGCAGAGCAAGGGAGGGAGAAGCAGTAGCAGTAGCAGAACCAGAACCATGATAAAGAGGAAAAATGAGAAAATGCTGTTGTTTATTTTTACACGTATGTACATGCATACACATATGTACATGTGAATGTAGGTCTGAAATGGGTTAATAGTGGGAAATGTGTGCGCTTTTCCCGGCGTGCTCTTCCGCTCTCATCGCTTGGATGGAATGGCGGCAGCAAGTGGTTCATTTAGATGGACACAAGAGTACACATGTACGCGGGAACGGGAACGGGAACGGGTACGCGAGTGCGCTGGGACAGGCACACAGGTAGTGGTAGATAGAAGTACGAGTGAGCAGGGGGGTATGGGCAGGGGCAACCATTATGGAACCAGTTTGACCGGATGGTCAAGCACGCTGAGAATATTAACGAAACAAGACAAAAAAATAAAACAGATCTACACCTACAAAAAAGCCAAGCCCCGAGCATTACGTAATACCAGCTACAGTTGTGTTTTTTTTTTTTTTTTTTTTACCAAAAATTAATAATGTGATTACTGAATTATAATCAAAAGGATTTCAATTTCAATCTGCATACAATATGTACATAATTAACATGTGTATTATTTCAAACATTTTTCCTATTACAAACAAAATCTATGCCGTCAAAGACAGCAGCGATGAGCAAAGCGGAGGGTGAGAGGAAGGTAATGTGGTAACAGTGTGTGGCTTACATCAGCACTGCTTCGTTAAAGTCGTGCTTGGTTCTCTCTCTCTCTCTCTTGGTTCTTCACTCAAAAGCTTTTTATGCTCAACTCTCTCTCTCTCTCTGTCCCTCTCTCTGTTCACCTTTGTGCTCTATGTGTACGGTATACGCCTTCTGTGGTTCAGCGTGACATACTTTTATTGTTGTCATTGGCTGCTTTTACCCACTTCTGCTCTGCTGCAGCTCTGCTCTGCCACTGTCACTGCCTCTGTCACTGCCTCTGCTGCAGCTGTGCTGCCTGCCTGCCTGCCTGCAAATGCACAACGCAATGCGTGCACAGTTATTTTTATACCTCAACCCAAAGCAACAACACAATCCATGAGAATGATGAGAATGATCATGATGATGATGTTTAGCTTTTTTTTTCACGTTTCTTTTTAGCGCATCGACATTAATGATTGCATTTGTTGCTCTATCTCTGTCTCTCTCTCCCTCTCCCGTAGCTGTATTAGTTCCGTAGGTTGCGCTCCAATTTCAGTTATTCAGATTTTTCAGATTTTCAGCTATTGTTGGGGTGGGCGTGGTTGACTATTCTCTGTCTCTCTACACTGCATCAGTGTATGGTTTTCCCTCATTCAAATTAAACTAAATATTTAGTTCAACGGTTCATTGCCTCAAGTACATATGTACATATGTATTTACATATCTCAAATCGAAGCAATCGGAGATCACCGATTCGACGTTCAATTGAACTGGCTCAAAGCTCAGCAAGCGCAACATCTCTTTCCCATATGTCTGTCTGTCTGTCTGCCAGTCTGTCTGTCTGTAAATATATCTCTCTCTTTTTTTTCGCTGTTGCTGTGTCTTCTTCTCTGTATTTTTTGTCTGTCTGCCTCTTTGGGTGCCCTTGACTATGCATGAGAGCACGTTTTTGTGCTTCTCTTTTTTTTTTTTAAGCTCTGTCTTAGGCTTTGCATTTGTCTGTCTATTTCGATTACATATGTACATATGTATGTATGTATAAAGTTGCTTGTTTGAAAACTAGTTTTTCTTTTAACCTATCCTTGCTCTCTCTCTTACTCTATGTATGACTGTGTGTGTGTGGGAGACACTTACAGATTTTTAAACAATAATAAAATGATGGAATTTCTTGTGTTTGAATTTTGAAACTTTGCAATACCCAAACGGTTAAATTCAATTTCAATCAACCAAACCATGCTAACGGATAAGTATGTATGTATGCATGCATGTATGTATGTATATTTATGCTTGCGTATGCGTACGAATTCCAAGAGATCGCCTAAAAGCAGGCAATGTGTCCTGTCTCTCTGCCCCTTTTCGCATATGTAGTACGAGTGGGGCTGTGGGCTGGAGGGGAGGGAGGTAAACTTATTGATTTTTTACACCACATTAGTTCGAGTCCTTCAAAAATGAAGCTGCTGCTGTCCTTGAATGTTATTTTCTCTACTCCATCTCTCTCTCTTTCTCTCTCTCTGTTTGCCCCCCATTGAAGTCGTTATTTTTCAGCTTCATGTTTCCTTAATGATTCTGTCAGTGTCTCGCCTTCGCGTCGCCGCCTCCTCCTTCTCCTGCTTCACTTGCAGGAGTCCTCGTCCTCGTCGTCTCGTCTGTGATTAACATTCTGAACCCCCAAAAGAGCGCTGTACTCTGCACAGGAGGCGTCTCCTGTGTCCGGAAGGAAAGCACTCTGCTCTCCCCAATTTACAGCCCAGCACACCAGAGCACACACTTTAACCCCCCACAAAAGAAACATGATTCATGCGTATCAATCATCAATCAAACTTTGGGCAAACTGCAGCCGAAATCGGAGAGAGTGTCGCGTAGGGGAGGGGAGGTCTGATGATGACGACGCTCTTTTTGGTCTCCGTTTTTGCCATTTTGTCATTTATTTGGCTTCCTTCCGTCTCTTACCCATTCCCATCTCTCTTCCTCTCTCTCTCTCTCTCACTCACTCTCTTTGGGCTGCTTATTTCGGATATTGCGCATATGATTCGCCGGTGGACGAAGGGGCAACAAGGGGGGATATTGTCTGTCTGTCTGTCCGTCTTTCGATTGGCATATTTAATTCGGCTAAATTGGAGAAAATCGATGAAGTGCGACAGAAAAAACCAAAAAATAATAAAGCAAAATGAATAATAGGGCTTCCTGCATATTGTCTTTCTGCTTGGGGGAGGGGAAACTAAGGCAAAGGGAAACTTGGACTGGACTGCTGTTGCGTCATTCCTTATTATTAGGGGGAGATTCGGTGTCATAAATGACATATAACTAAGTTATTAAATGTGAGATTATGTTGGGTCCTGTGTGCCTGTGTCCTGAGTGCCCTGCACAATGTACATAAATATATGTACATATGTTCTTTAATCATGAAAATGTGTGTTACCGTTACTCCTTTGCTTACTTTTAGCCCAAAAACTGGATACAGTTTAGTATGCATGTACATTACATATGTATGACAGCAACAAAACCAATTCCTCTCACGAAAAACGAAATCATAAAATATCAAAATCAGATAAGCACACAAAGATCCCAAGAGTTAGCCAAGAAACATACATACATACATACATACATACATACACAATTAAATGCCAGATATTAAGTACATATGTACATACATGTATGTAAGTATTCCCTGCAG